ACCGTAGTACCCCCGTGACTATTTCAGTACCATTCCAATACTTCATTAAGCAATGACATATATATATATATATATATATATATATTTTTTTTTTTTTGGATTAGAATTTGTTATGGATTTACCGACAAAAGTATGCAGATAAAGATATTGATGTGATTGCAATATTTCTCTTGAAAAAATGAACAGGTTTTCGACTGATAACTGTTCAGTTATGATTAAAATTACAAATGGATATGTTTGTCAGATACTCAATTTGGCATACTCTGCTATCTCCTAAGGTAGGCAAATTGATGATATTCCTAGTCGTCGTGTTTACTTCAATAATTTTAAGAGCACTTTGGAACTGAAATTCATGTTTGTTTGGGGTATATGTATTGGCTTTCGAGAAAGAGGTAATGAATTTGAAATTAGTCAGTAGCATACATATTCAAATGCAATCGAAAGAAGCAAGAATTCTCATATTATTACCATCAGAAAGGTACACTAAGTGATATCTTGAAAATCGATCTTTATGAAACTGAATAAAATATTTTTTTTTTGTAGTTTCTTGAAAAAAGTACCCTTTTATTAAAAAATGGTACCTTTTCACATTTTTTATTTTCCATCCCTGATCTAGGGTAGTAGGTGTGTATGTGTGATATGAGTTTGATAATATATGGGTTGACAAATTTCGATTCTAAGAAATCAAAGGCAATAGAGCAGGGATGATTCACACGTAAAAACTAGTTTTCAGGACCCCAAATAGGCGTGGATTTTTAAAAATATTTTTTAAGGTACCAGCACAGGCGTGGATTTTTTTAAAAATATATTTTCAAGGGCCATAATCAGGCGTGGATTTTTTACAAATATTTTTTTTCAACAGCTCACATAGGCGTGCCATATTCAGCCGTGGGTTTTTTAAAAATATTTTTCAAGAGCTCGCATAGGCGCACCAGAATCAGGCGTGGATTTTTTAAAAAATATTTTTTCAAGAGCTCACATAGCGGGCCATAATCAGGCGTCGATTTTTTAAAAATATTTTTTCAACAGCTCACATAGGCGGACCCTAATCAGGCGTGGATTTTTTAAAAATATTTTTTCAACAGCTCACATAGACGGGTCATAATCAGGCGTGGGTTTTTTAAAAATATTTTTTCAAGAGCTCGCTTAGGCGCACCAGAATCAGGCGTGGATTTTTTAAAAATATTTTTTCAACAGCTCACATAGGCGGACCCTAATCAGGCGTGGATTTGTTAAAAAAATATTTTTTCAACAGCTCACATAGGCGGACTCTAATCAGGCGTGTGTTTTTTAAAAACCAGAATCTGGCGTGGATTTTTTAAAAAATATTTTTTCAAGAGCTCACATAGCGGGCCATAATCAGGCGTCGATTTTTTAAAAATATTTTTTCAACAGCTCACATAGGCGGACCCTAATCAGGCGTGGATTTTTTAAAAATATTTTTTCAACAGCTCACATAGACGGGTCATAATCAGGCGTGGGTTTTTTAAAAATATTTTTTCAAGAGCTCGCTTAGGCGCACCAGAATCAGGCGTGGGTTTTTTACAAATATTTTTTCAACAGCTCACATAGGCGGACCCTAATCAGGCGTGGATTTTTTAAAAAAATATTTTTTCAACAGCTCACATAGGCGGACTCTAATCAGGCGTGTGTTTTTTAAAAACCCTAAATATTTACATTGATATTAAGGGTTCTCAGTTTATAGAGCAAACTTTATACTAGAAATTATCAATATTGGTACACTTTTTAGGTTCGTCCCCAATTTTGGTCCACTTTTATTTAGGTTGTTCCCCGTATAACGTTACATCCTAAATTTCGGACTTTTTGAAAGTTTGGCCAAAAATTTTCATCCCAACTGCTTGAAATTTGATACTTTGGATTCTCTTTGGGTGTAAAACCTCTCGAACAAAAATTATTTGTATCGGTCCACCTTTAGGTATAGCCCTCATATAACGGTAGCACCGAAAAATTTTTCATCCCAACTGCTTGAAATTTGATACTTTGGATTCTCTTTGGGTGTAAAACCTCTCGAACAAAAATTATTTGTATCGGTCCACCTTTAGGTATAGCCCTCATATAACGGTAGCACCGAAAATCTATATTTTGGACTTGTTTTTCAACTGAATTCGCTCTAATTTGATATTTTGGGTTCTCATTGGATAGCAAATCTCCATACCAAAAATTGTCAATATTGGTCCACTTTTTAGGGTAGCTCTCATATAAGGATACCTCCAAAATTTCGAATTTTTGAGGAGTTTGGACATGGTTTTCAACCAAATTGGTTGTAATTCAACATTTTAATTTCTCTGTGGGTAGCCAATATTCCCACCAAAAATTATCAATATTGATCCAATTTTTGGGGTAGCTCCCACATAAGGGTACCTCCTAATTTTCGACATTTTTGGTATTTTGAGTACGCCTTTCAAAAGGAATTGGGTCTAATTTGATGTTTTGGGTTCTAATTAGGTACCCCATCTTCCTACCAAAAATTATCAATATTGGTCCACTTTTTAGGGTAGCCACTATATCAGGGTACCTCCCAAATTTGGATATTTGGGGAGTTTTGACAGGTTTTTCAACCGAATGGGCTGTAATTTGGTATTCTGGTTTCCGATTGGGTATGAAATCTTCCCACCAAAAATTATCAATATTGGTCTACTTTATAGGGTAGCCCCCATATAAGGGTACCTCCTAAATTTCGGATGTTCGGGGAGTTTGAGCACGTTTCTCAAAGGAATTGGCTCTAATTTGATGTTTGGGGTTCTCATTGAATATCAAATCTTACAACCAAAAATTATTAATATTGGCTCAAGTTTTGGGGTATCTCCTAGATTTCGGTATTTTGGGGAGTTTGGACACGTTTTTCAATCGTATTGACACTAGTTTTCTCCTGATAACAATTTACCATGACAAAACTTTCACATATAAAGTTCCGATCGATTTTTAAATCTGATTTTTTATTCAATTTCCATTTTTTAATATTTAAGCAGTTGAAATCTCCGCCTCCGGGTTCAATGCCGATACAATAGCCATTAGTACACCCTTTATGATTTGTTCACGCCATTCAAGCTGCACAGTCAAACGACAATTTACCCCACCAGCTGCTGTCTCCCGTTCATATTCTTCACCATATAAATCTTGAATATCATCGAAGGCATCCACTTTACCCTCATCGTTAGTTTTCGATTGCAAAGCCGTAAACCAATTAATGATATCCTTATTATCCTCCTTTCCTCTGGCATCCAAGCTCGCAATGAATTGTTCCACATCCTTAATTATCACGGGTAAATCATTTTGCAAAAATTCTTTTTTCTTAGCTTCCTCATCGGTGTCCTTTAAATTCTTTTGATAGCGTGACCATATTTGATTTACCTCACGATGACGCAGATCATAGCGTAGATTTTCTATGGTGAAAAATAGCGTATGCATTTTACGTTGCAACGAACAATTTGTGGGTGCTTTTTCATAGCCTTCTGAAGTCGTTATAAAATCTTGTAAATTTTCTTTAAGTTCGGAATATTGTTGCTGTTTGTTGGCGGGAATTTTTTTATGATTTGCTTCATACCACACGGTGTAGTCTTTAAGGACATCCGGATAGATGGAGGTTTTCTCGACAATTTCATCGGAAATAATTTTATTTACTTTCAATAGAATGGTGTCGAATAATTGATAACGTTTCTGATAGGTTGAGGATATCGAAGAAGACGTCACGGGTTCACTGGTTGTGGTTATGATCGATGAAGATTTTCTGGGTGCTGCCCACGAAATCTGGGACGGAAAAAAATTATAGTTAAGCTGAATACATTTTTGATTTTTCTAACTCACCTGTATTGCCAAGAGCAGCATACAAATATTTAATAAAATCTTCATAATATTTTTTTAAGCGTCTATTGTTCCCTCTTTGTGTTCTGAAATACGACTATTTGATACGCCAGTGTTTTGAAAATCACTTGAACAATTTTGTTTAATATATTCCGCTTTTCTTATCTCTTTAGATTAAGTTCATCACCTTTAAGCTTCAATATTATTATTGCCATTAATGGCAAATTCAAGATAAGCTTTCCATTTTATGGTGGGAGACTAGTTTTCAATATAAATTCGGAAAAAAAATGAGAGCAATCTTGAAATTATTCGGAACAAAAAGATTTTCCATGGAAATGTTGAAAAAGATAGTGCTTTGAAATGTTGCCCTCACCTTGCTATTATTACTAAGTTATTTGTTTTTCGAATTTGGATATATTGGTCCACTGTTTGGTATAGCCCCCATACATCGGTACTCCCAATATTCGTTACTTCGGAACTTTTTTCAATCGATTAGGCTGTAATTTGGTATTTTTGGTTCGCGATGGATGTGAAACTTGCCTTATAAAAATTATCAATATCGGTCCACTTTTTAGTGTACCCCCATAAAACGTAACCTTTCAATTTTCGATATTTCGAGATGTTCGGACACCGTTTTTCAAATAATTTTGCTGTTTTTTGGATTCTTATTTGGTAGCGAAGCTTCCTACCAAAAATTATCAATATTGGTCCAAGTTTCGGGGTAGTTCTCATATAACGGTACCCTCTTTTTTCTACATTTTGGGAACGTTTTCCGACAGAATTGTCTGTTATTTGGTATTTTGGGTTCTCTTCGGATAGAAAATTTCCCTAACAAAAATTATCAATTTCGGTCCGGGATTTAGGGTAGCCCCCATATTATGGCACTTCCGATTTTTGGTATTTTGAGTTCGTTTTTCAACCAAAATGTCTGTAATTCATATTTTGGAATCTCATTGGATAGCGAAGCTTCCTACCAAAAATTATCAATATTGGTCCAAGTTTCGAAGTAGTTCCCATATATCGATACCTCAATTTTAGGGTATTTTGAGTTCTCATTGGTTAAGAAAATTTCCCACTAAAAATTATATAGATCGGTCAAAGTTTTGATGTAGCTCCCATATAAGGGTACCTCCTATATTTCGGTATTTTAGGGAGTTTGAACACGCTTTTCAATCAAAATGGCTGTAATTTGGTATTTTGAGTTCTCATTGGGTTGCAAATCTTTCTACCAAAATTTATTAATATCAGCTCACGTTTAAGGGTGGCTCCATATAAGGATACGTCCTAAATTTCGGTATTTTTGGGGAGCTTGAACACGTTTTTCAACAGAATTGACTGTAATTTGGTATTTTTGTTTCTCATTAGGTAGAAAATCTCCCAAACAAAAATTATCAATTTCGGTCTGCGATTTAAGGTAGCCTCCATATAATATCACTTCCGATTTTCAGTATTTTGAGTTCGTTTCTCAACTGAATTGCCTATAATTTGGCGTTTTGAGTTCTCATTGGGTGACAAATCTTTCTACCAAAAATAATTAATATCGGTCCAATATTTAGGGTAGCCACTAAATAACGGAACTTCCGATTTTCGGTGTTTTGGGTTCGTTTTTCATCCGAATTGGCTGCAATTTAGTATTTTGGATTATTTTTGGGTAGCAAATCTCGCTAACAAAAATTATTAATATTGGTCCTCTTTTTAAGGTATCCTCCATTTAAGAATACTTCCAAATTTTTGGTTTTTTTGTCATTGGAATTGGCTGACATTTAGTATTTTGGGTTCTCATTGTGTAGCAAATCTTCCTACCAAAAGTAATCAATATCGATCCACGTTTTGGGTTTGCTCCCATATAACGGCATTTCCGATTTTCGGGTGCTTGAGCCGTTTTTTAACTGTAGTGGTTGTAAGTTAGTATTTAGGGTTCTCATTGAGTAGTAAATCTTCCTACCAGTAATGAACAATATCGCTTCACGTTTTGGTATAGCTTCCATGTAAGGCAGGGATGCGAAATGAAATTATTCAAATTGTACTGGCTTTCAATAAAAAGTGTACTTTTTTCAGTCCGATTGTACTTTTTATATACTTTTTAATAAAATTTGTATTGTCATTAACAATTAATAAAAACACACATTAAGAACTCATTTTTATATACACATAGATAAAATGAAAACTTAAAAACACCTCCATAGGTATACTGACGGATAATTGAAATGAAAATATAGGGAACATACAAAAAAAAAAAATAATTCTATAAACCAGTTTATGAAAACAATTGTGTACACCAAATACAAATTTCCGCAATTTGTAATGAAAACCCCAAAGCGTTGACATATACTAATAACGCATGGAATATACAATCCTCAAACTACTGCAATTTAGATTACTTAGTGTAGGAATTAGCGAATATTTGGGGTTATACTCATATGAGGGCTATGCCTAATTAATGACCGATATATATATATATATATATATATATATGTATATATAAATTTCTCTTCAGGAATTATCATTATATGGAGAAATGCCTGAATCTTGCCGACATACATGAAATACAAATTTCAATTCTGAACAAATCAGATAACTATTTTAATATAAACAAGTGAAAAAGCGTTAAGTTCGGCCGGGCCGAACTTTGGATACCCTCCACCATAGATATACTGACAGGTACTTACAAAAAATATAGGGAGCATACCAAAAAGTGTACCTATAACGGCATATCTACAAACCGATTATGGTTCTAAATATTGGTCCTAGACCCCATGTTTCTTTGGACCAAATTTGTTTCAAAAATTTTTGATTTCATCCAAACGTTGCCCATCTTATTATTTATTCCAAAATTTTGAGGGTGTATACACTTTGATAAAGTGAAAATGTGCCTCGTCGAAATATTGGTTCTAGACCCCACGTATTTTTGGAACAAATCCATTTCAGAAAAATTTGAATTCATCCAATTTGTGCCTATATTATTATTTATTCCAAACTTTGTTCAAGTTCGAAGATGGTAAATATCGATGCACTCCTTCTAGTACGTCCCACACAGGGGCTAGGCCTATATCTGGGCTATAGTTCATATATAGTACATTATCGAACCTTACATTCTATCCTCCGCAGGTGAAATGATTACAAAAGAGTCGTAGAACCAAACCTAAAACGCCGAACAAATCAGATAACTATTTTAATATGGGGACTACACCAAAAAGGGTGCGAATATTAATAACTTTTAGTAGGGAGATTTGTTACCATATACGACTACCAAATACCAAATTGCGGCGAATTCGGTTGAAAAACGCGCTCAAGAACCCCAAAGTACCGAAAATTGGGAGGTACTGTTATATGGGAGCTATGCTTAAACGTGGACCGATATATCCCATGTTCGAACTTGACCTTTCTGCAGACAAAAGACAAACCTATGCAAAATTTCAGCACCCTATCTCAATTCCTTCAGAAGATAGCGTGATTACAACAGACGGACAGTCGGACGGAAATGGCTAAATCGTCTTAGAATTTTACCCTGATCAAGAATATATATACATTTTAGGGTCGGAAATGAATATTTCGATGAGTTACAAACGGAATGGTAAAATTAATATACCCTCCATACTATGGTGGAGGGTATAAAAAGGGGGTTATATGGGGACTACCCCTAATAGGGGACGAATATTAATAATTTTTGGGAGGGAGGTTTGTTACCATATGCGATTACAAAAAAACAAAATTTCAGCGAATTCGGTTTAAAAACGCGCTTAAACTCCCCAAAATACCGTAAACTGGGGGTACCGTTATTTGGGGGTAACCAGAAAAAGTGGACCGATATATATAACTTGTAGTGAGGATATTTGATACCTAAAAAGAACCCAATTTACCAAATTTCACCGAATTCAGTTGAAAACCGCGCTCAAAAACCCCAAAATACCGAAATTGGGAATGCCCTTATATGGGGGCATCCCCAGCGAATTCGGTTGAATAGCGCGCTCAAGAACCCCAAAATATCGAAAATTGGGCTGTACCCTTATATGGGGCTATGCCTAAACGTGGACCGTTATAGCCCATCTTCGAACTTGACCTGCCTGCAGACTCTATGCAAAATTTTGACGATCTATTTCAATTCCTTCAGAAGATAGCGTGATTACAACAGACGGACGGACGTGGCTAGATCGTCTTAGAATTTTACCCTGGTCAATACTTATTGAAAATTTCGATGAGTTACAAATGGAATGACAAAATTAATATATCCTCCACCATAGTGTGGAGGATATATTAAGGGTTTGAAAATTCTGAAATAATAGAATAGAGCCTTAACTTTTGGGAATCAGCTTCGAAATCATTTAGTGTAAAATAATATTAAAGTGACTCCCACTGCGCCAAAATTGTTTCAACAACTTCTTGACGTGAAAGCCATCGAGTTGTTGAGAATTTAAAAAGAACATGAATATCTGTACCGAATTATTCTTGAAACATTGAAAAATCACCTCTCTCATAGAACAGTTACAGAAATAATAATTAATTAATATTAATATCTTCACTGAATTTATCAATCTTATCGGGAATACTGAATTTTGAAGCGGCAAATTCATCCATTCGTAACGACAGCGGGGGATGACGATTCATTCCATGTTGTATGTTTAAGTACTTATAATACTTTTAAGTGAGAATAATTTGATACAATTTAGAAATAGTGTTAACTATGTCATTGGGGTGCTATTGTATTTTTGACTTTCAAATAGTGCTAAAATTAGTACAATTGTACCAACTTTTGCATCCCTGATGTAAGGGTACCTTCGTAATTTTGATATTTTCATACACATTATTTTAGAGATTTCGGACCTGTTTTTCAAACGAATTGGTTTTAAGTTAATATTTAGGGTTTTCATTATTTCATCGTAACAAAAATGTTCAATATTGGTTAACCTTTGGGTACAGCTCCCTGGTAAAGGTCCATCTACCTTTATAGTTATTTTGAAGGTTCTAGGTGCATTTTTGGTGCACAACTTCTTCACAAAACATTTTCAATATCCCAAAAGTCCATGGTTCTACGCAGCCCCCACACAAAGACCATGGGTGATATTTAGTATGTTTAAGATCCTGGTTCACTTATTCCACCTGTTTGGTATTTCGTTTTCTTTTGATTTTAGGCGTTTTTGATGTCCAACTTATGTTCGAGTAGAATACCATCTCTCGCGATCTTTACGACTTTTTTAAGGATTTTGTTTATTAAATTTGAAATTTTTTATGAATAGTTTTCCCTGACCCAAATAAGCGGGAATTTTTTAAATACCTTTTTAAGGGACCTCGGATTGTTTAAGAATATTTTCAGAGACCCTAAGAAGTGTCACTTCTTTCAGGTGCCATATATTTTAGGGTCCCAAATAAGCGGGAATTTATTTTTAAATATTTTCAAGGACCCAAATAAGCGGATTTTTTAAAAATATTTGTTCATGGACTCAAGCGATTGGTTTTTAGAATTTTTTCAGGGAGCGGAAAATTTTTAATTTTTTTTATTTTTTCAGGGACCCAAAAAGGCGTGGATTTATTTGAAGTTTTTTGTGAATAGTTTTCCGGGACCCCAATAAGCTGGAATTTTTTAAATACTTTTTTCAGGGACCCCGGATTGTTTAGGAATATTTTCAGAGACCCTAAGAAGTGAGATTTTTTTTAAGGTGCCATATATTTTAGGGTCCCAAATAAGCGGGAATTTTTGAATATTTTCAGGGACACAAATAAACGGATTTTTTAAGAACATTTTTCATGGACCCAAGCGGTTGAATAACGCCCCTATTGTGGACCATAAAAATAATTCCAACATATTTTTTAAAAATGTTTTAAATTTTATTTTTTTAAATAATTTTTTTTTATTAGAAATTCTAATAATTTTTTTAAACTTTCTTCTCTTTCCAGTATTTCAATTCCCCCAATCCTTATATGATGACTGCTGATAATTTACCAAACTATAATGTACATCCTTTAAGTAATCCCAACTCTTCAAGTTCCTTGGGATTGGGACAGAATTTTTATGATCCCAAACCTACCGGAGGCTATGGTTTAAATTTTAATGGAAATGGTAGTGGTGTTGGTGTCGGTGTCGGACTTGATAATGGAGACAATGGCAGCGGTGGTGGTACACAATACTATGCAAATCCTTTTGCAACTGGTTTTGATTTTTCCAATACCAAGTTGCAGGCTACAGCACCTGAATTTGTGCCTCGTTTTGATAAACTTTCGTTGAACGAAACAAATCAAACAAAATTAGAGACTAATAATAATGCCAATACCAATGGCAATGTGGAGCCATTGGTCACGCAAACTACTTCCAATGGTCATCAGGCGGCGGATAAACATTTGAATCCTACGGCTCCCGCTGATACCAGTTTTGAAAAGGAAGAAAAACGCCATCAACATCGACGCAACAATAATCGTCACAACAACAACAAACAGGATAAGGAAAATAATCGCCGTAACCACAATCGTATTGAAAAGAATATGGAAAGATTTTCACGAAATCTACAAGAGAAAAATCACAATAATGATTCGGCATCGAATTCGAATTCATCGACGCCATCGTTGACAATGAATGGTGGGGGTGGAGGAGGAAATGGTGGGTCCACAGGAAATCATCAACAAAATAATAATAATAATGGTGGTGGTCCTGGTGGGGTTCAAAAGAACACTGGGGCCTTTAGTAAATCCCAACAGCATCGGAATTCGGAAAAATATAATCGAAATGGCAATGAACAAAATCCTGAGCAGAATGCTGGACATCAAAATAAACGCTATCAAAATGGCAGAAGATCACAGCAGGAATATGCTGAGGGATCAGCAGGAGGAGGTTCCGGAGGAAGAGACTCCGCAGGCGGCGGAAAACGTGAAGAACGTTTCGATCGCTACGACCGCAATGACCGCCCCGAACGCGGCGGCCGCAATCAACGCAACGATTATCATCAACGCTACGACAATTATCGCAGCAATAAACGCCGTGACGATTGGAATCGCAATCGCGATCGCATCAATGGCTTCCGTGTCGAAGAGAAATATTCCCATGACAATGGCAAAGATAGTCCCCTGCCCAGTCCCGAAAAGAAATCACCCAAAAAAGTGTTCCCAGAAAATGAAAAACTTTCACAACGTGAAAAGCTGATACGCGATATCGAATGCCGGCGCCTGGAATGTTTAGTGTGCGTGGAATCCATTAAGGCCCAACAGAGTGTATGGTCCTGCCACAATTGCTATCACATCATGCATTTACAGTGTATCATAAAATGGGCCTCATCATCGAAATCAGATGACGGGTGGCGTTGCCCCGCCTGTCAGAATGTGGAGAAAGATGTGCCACGCGATTATTACTGCTTCTGTGGCAAGTTGAAAAATCCCACGAATAATCATCAGGACATTGCACATTCATGTGGAGAGGTGTGCGGCCGCATTGAAGGCTGTCCCCATGCCTGTACTTTGCTGTGTCACCCTGGACCCTGTCCGCCTTGCCAAGCCCAGGTTAAGCGAGAATGTGGCTGTGGCAAGACTTCCAAGACAATGCAATGTTGCATCAAGGAGACCATAGAGTGCGATTCCACCTGTGAAAAGCTACTGAACTGTGAACTCCACGTCTGCCAGGAGAAATGTCACGAGGGTAAATGTCCACCTTGCAAAGAGAAGGTTGATCAGAAGTGTCACTGCAGCAAAAATGAGCGCCAGGTCACCTGCACCCGAGAATCGCACGACAAACATGTCTACTCCTGTGGCAAGCCATGTGGCAAAGACCTCTCCTGTGGCAATCACAAATGCAACCAATGTTGCCATGCTGGCGAATGCAAACCTTGCAAAATGAGCCCCGACATTGTCACCTCCTGCCCATGTGGCAAAATGCCCATTGTTGCAGAGCAACGTAAATCCTGCCTTGATCCCATACCTCTGTGTGAGGGTACCTGTGGCAAAACCCTAAAATGTGGCAAGGCCAGCAATCCCCATCACTGCACCTTCAAATGCCATGCCGGCAATTGTCCACCCTGCAACAAACAAACCGCCGTCAAATGCCGTTGCGGTCACATGGATCAAATGATAAAATGTCGCCAATTATCCACCCGGGCCGATGATGCCCGCTGCAAAAAACGTTGCACAAAGAAGCGGTCCTGTGGCAAACACAAATGCAATCAGGAATGTTGCATCGATATCGATCACTTTTGCCCACTGCCCTGCAATTACACCCTGTCGTGTGGCAAACACAAATGTGATCAACCCTGCCACCGTGGCAATTGTCCACCCTGCTATCGTTCCTCATTCGAAGAGCTGTTTTGTGAATGTGGTGCCGAGGTCATATATCCTCCAGTGCCCTGTGGCACAAAGAGACCTGTCTGCACCAAACCCTGTTCTCGCAAACATCCTTGCGATCATGCCCCCCAACATACATGTCATTCGTCGGCCACCTGTCCCCCTTGTATGATGTTTACCACCCAATGGTGTTATGGGCAGCATGAACAGCGCAAAACGATACCCTGTTCCCAGAAAAGTTTCTCATGTGGTCTGGCTTGTAACAAGCCGCTGCCATGTGGACGTCACAAATGCATAAAGACTTGTCATGAGGGCCCATGCCAGACGCCCGGTGAAATATGCAAACAAAGTTGTACAACTGCCCGACCCAACTGTGGTCACAAGTGTATGGCCGCCTGTCATGATGGTGATTGCCCCGAGACGCCGTGTAAAGAAATGGTGAGTGGGGGAATAACAACAACAAAAATAGATTATCATATGATATCAACAATTATGTTCAGATAAAGGCCTAAAAAATGTCCTAAATCCAGACATATGAAAATTCTAAGAGGAAGTCTAAGATCTGTTTAATGGATGGCCTATAGCTCATCTCATAGACTACAAAAATGTCTTCTTAAAATATAACCCATATTACCTCACATAGAAGATCAAAAGTTCGTCCTTAATGAAAACCTTTAGCCCTTCTCATGGTGGGCCAAAATGTCTTCTTAAAATGGGACCTGTATCCCTTCCAAAAAAAGGATATAAAAGTCTTCCTAAAGAGAAAACCTTTAGCTATTCTCATCGAATTTCAAAAGGCCTAAATAAAGGATGCTCCAAAGTCGTATTTATAAGAAGCCGTATAGCTCCTATCATATAATATCTAAACGCTCCCCTCATAGAAGCCCAAACGGAATTCTTAAAAAATATCTATAGCTTCACTTATAGAGGTCCTATAGATCCTCTCAAAGAGGACTATGATTTTATTCTTCAAAGAAGGCCTATAGGTCTTATTATAGAAATCCAAAAGGTCTTCTTAAATGAAAAACTATAGCTTCTCTTATAGAAGGTCAAAATGCATTCCTTATAGAAGACCTTAACTCCACTCATATAATTCGAATAGGCCTTTTAAAAAGGTCAGCTGCGCCTCGAATAGGCGACTAGAATATCTTTTTAAAAGGAGCCCTTCTTAGAAGACGACATCTTCCTGATATGTCATTTAAGAGGATATTCTCGTCGCCTATTCGAGGCGCAGCTGACCTCTTCCTATTAAAATTCTCCAGTTGGAAGACCTTTTTGACTTCTAATAACACCTATTCATCCTATTTGCTATCCTGTTAAAATTCCAATCGAATCTGCAGTTAGAAGGCCTATTTGTTATCCAATAAGTTCGGTTTTATCTAGTAAGAAAACCTATTGGTGTTCCTATTAGAATAACTATTGATTTTCCTATAAGATCCCCTATTGGAAGACTTATTGGTTATCCTATAAGAATACCTTCCTGTTAGAAGACTTAATGGTCCTCCAATAAGAAGAACTGGTGGTGATCTTTGAATTCCTATTAGAATACCTTCATGTTTGACTTCCTATTAAAATTACAATTGAATCTACAGTTTGAAAATACCTATTGATCTTCCATTAAGACCAATCGGTCTTATCCAATAAGGAGTCCTATTGAATCCCCTGTTAGAAGAAATCCTATTAGAATACAATCATATTTGTCTACCTGTTAAAATTCCAATTGTATTTCCAATTAGGAGATATATTATTCTTCCAATAAGAATACAAAATTGTTTACCTATGGATCTATTGATATTCTTATTAGAAGAACAGTTGGTTTTTCTATTCCAATGCCGATTGACCATCCTATTCGTGTCCCTGTTAGAATTCCAATTGAATCTACAGTTAGAAGACTTATTGTTATTCCGTCAACAATCCCTATTGGTCTTCCTATTAGAAGACAGATAAGCCCTATCGGTCTTATCCTACAACAAGATCTATTGGTATTCCCATTAATATAAAAAATGGGTTTCCTAGTAGAAACCCTATTTCCTTTCCTTTCTATTGAACTATTGTATTTTCTATTGGAAGAACTATTGCTCCTCTAATAAGAATGCCTATTAATCGTCTTAGAAGAGTTTTTATCCTTCTTTCTATTAGAAGGATAAATTGTATACCTATTAGAAAAACAATTGAACCTCTCCTATTCAACTTCCAATTTGATCTGTAGTTGGAAGATTTATTAGTATTTAAATTAGAATACCTATTGGTCGTCCAATAAGTAATGTTTTTGGTCATTCAATATGAAGATAGCTCTGATTATTCCTATTAGAATATACATAAACTATTATAAAACCTGTTGATCTTCCTATTGAAATTCCAATTAGATCTCTAGTTGGAAGATTTTTTGGTCTTCCAATTAGAATACATATTGGTCTTCCAATTAGTACAATTTTTGGTGATTCAATATGAAGATCTAATGATCATCTAATAAGAAGACCTATTGACCTTCCAATAAGAATACCAAATCTTTTACCTATTAGAAACCCTATTGGTCTTCCTAAAGTAAATCGTATTGGAATTCATATTAGGTCTATTTGTCTTTATATTTGGAGACCAATTGGGCTTTCAATAAGAAGACCCTTTGTTCTATTAGAATACCAATTTGTCTTTCTATTAGAGGACCCATTGATCATCATCTCCGTATTAGAAGACCTATAGGACTTCCTTTTAGAATACATTTTGTCCTTCCTAACAGAACACTGAATGATCTTTCTATTAGAGAAACTACTGGTTTCCCTGTTAGAATACCTCTTGTCCTCTCCCATCAGAACACCCATTGTTCTTCCTATTAGAAGACCTATTCATATTATAATTAGTGGTCGTATTGGACTCATTCCTATTAGAAGACCTATTGATTTCCCTATTAGATAACCTTCTTTTATTCCTATTAGAAACATTTTTCGTATTCCAATTAGAAGACTTATTTTTTGTGAACTTGTGAATCTTCCTATTAGGAGACCCTATGGCATTGATATTGGAACAATAATTGGAATTCGTATTAGAAAACATATTGATCTTCCAACAGGAAAACCTACTGGTATTTCAATGAGTAATCGTATGGTATTCCAATAAGAAAAATTATTATCTCCAATAAGGAGATCTACTGGTCTTTCAATGAGAAAACGTATATAAGAAGAACTGGTATTCTTCCAATTAGAGGACTAACTGTACCTAGGAATAACTATCGAATAGGCGTGGATTATTAAAGGGTATTTTTTAAGGACTATCTGTCGAATAAGCGTGGATTTTAAAGGGTATTTTTTAAGGACTATCTGTCGAATAAGCGTGGATTTTTAAGGGTATTTTTTCAAGGACTAACTGTCGAATAGGCGTGGATTTTTAAAGGGTATTCTTAGGACTAACTGTCGAATGTCGGTATTTTTCAAGGACTAACTGTCGAATAGGCGTGGATTTTTAAAGGGGGAGGACAATTTAAAGTAATTTTTTTAATGTTAAACTGACCACCAGACGATTTTTTTAGGCTTCCTTCGTCTTCCGATCGAACCTTTTATTTTTTACTTTTCTTTTTTTATTTTAATTGTTTCTCTTATTTTCTTCCTGCAGGTCGAAGTACAATGTGAATGTGGTAATCGCAAACAGATGCGAACCTGTGCCGAATTGGTACGTGAATTTAGTCGCATTGCCACCGCCCAATTGGCTTCATCTATGGCGGAAATGCAACGTGGCAATTATATGGAGCTATCGGAAATTTTAGCTCCCGTTAAACTAACAAATAAATCTAATAAGACACTCGACTGCAATGAGGAATGTCGTACCCTAGAACGTAATCGTCGTCTAGCGATTGGTTTACAAATTCGTAATCCTGATTTACCACAAAAACTAATGACAAAATATTCCGATTTTATACGAAAATTTGCTAAACGTGATCCGGCATTGGTGAAATCGATACATGATGCTCTTACCACTCTGGTGAAATTGGCCAAGGAAAGTAAACAAAAATCGCGATCACACTCTTTCCCCACCATGAATCGTGAGAAACGTCAGCTGGTCCATGAAATGTGTGAAATGTTTGGCGTGGAATCGGTGGCCTACGATGCCGAGCCGAATCGTAATGTTGTCGCAACAGCATACAAGGATAGGGTGAGTTGTTGGAGAACTGGTAGAAATTTGGAATGTTTTAATAATTTTTTTATTTTCTTTTTCTTTTAGTCTTGGCTTCCCGCCACCAGTATCATGGAGGTAATGGCTCGTGAATCTGGCCAACGGCGTGTCCCTGTGCCCAGCAACAATGCCTGGGGTCTAAAGAGATAATGCTAAGAAAATACCAACTGCTGAAACCCTTTGTGAAAATTTTTCATTTAATTTTTTTTTGATTGATTTAAAAACCCCCTCGCTCCACACCCTCCTAAAAATATTACAAAATATTATTTTTTTCTTTAAATTTGAATTTGTATTGTATTTTTTCTTTTTCTTTTCCTTCTTTTTCATTTTTGTTGTTCAAAAAACAAACCAACATTGTGTAAAAAAAAATTGGAATTTATAGCCATTATATTTCTTAAAGTGTTTTGAAAAAAAATCCCCAATCCAATAAAAAAGTGTTGGCTATAAATCCCTTAATCTATTTTCGTTCTATTTTTTTCTTCCTAATTATTGTATGGCCGATTGAAATGTATAATGAAATTTACAAATCAACAATTATGCCCATTTAATTTTGTGTGTTTCAAAAATTAATATTTTCAATATTTTCTTAATTTTATATAAAAAACTTTATTTTCTTGTCACCGAACCAAATTAAAAAATAAAATCAAACCCATCTTTAACTAAAAGTTCAACTGAAAAAAAACAAAAATTATCTACAAAATAGTAAATTCCCAATCACTTCCTCCCCCCTCTGAAAAATTTGAAAACTCAAAATTAATACACACCACTCATACAAGAAATAAACTTCTTCTACTACAACTACTATTACAAAACAAAAACTAAATAATAAAACTAAAAAAAGTCTATATAAATTTTGTTTAGTAATAAAATTGTTTATCAATGAACTGTAAACAGAAATTCAATTGTTATGTGGTTTTATTTTGAATTGATATTTTTATGCCTCAAATATATTCTTTAAAAAAATCGCAGCGTTCTTTAAAAAATCCACGCCATGTATAGTCCTCTAAAAATATTCTTTAAAAAATCCACGCAATGTATAGTCATCTAAAAAATATTCTTTAAAAAATTCATATCCATCCAATCGACGACGATATTCACCGTCAACGCAGATCGGCCCATATATCTTTCGGAGAATTTTTCTCTCAAACACTTTAAGAGCTGCCTCATCTGTTTGCGCAAGTATACATGATTCAGGTTCATATAACAGCACGGGTAGTATCAGCATCTTGTAGAGTGTGACTTTGGTTGGCGGGAGGTGGCCTTGCTTATGAGTTGCTTACTCAGACCATAGTAGCATCTGTTGGCCATCACTATCCTTCTCCGAATTTCAAAACTGATGTCATTCGTTTTATTTATGGCGGTACGAAGGTATATAAAATCTTTGACTGCCTCGAAGCTGTAGTTCTCAAGTTCCACAGTTGATCCGAGTCTACTGGACGTCTGGCGCGTTGATACCATCAGCTTGGTCTTCTCGTCGTTTACTGCCAGACCCACTTTGGCTGACTCCTTCTCAATTTGTTCAAAGGTGGCTGTTACCGCTCGCAATGTTCGATCCATTACATCGATGTCATCGGCGTAGGCGAGTAACATGTGTTGTTTGGTGTACAGAGTGCCATTTCTGTTCAACTTTGCGTCTCGTATGACCTTTTCCAACAGGATGTTAAAAAGGTCACACGACAAACTGTCACCTTGTCTTAATCCTCGTTCGGTATTAAAGGGCTCCGAGAGGTCCTTTCCTACTTTAACTGCTGACCTTGTGCCACTTAAAGTTATCCTGCATAGCCGTATTAATTTTGCAGAAACACCTCTGAACGGATAGGGCAGTCGAATGCGGCTTTATAGTCGACGAATAGGTGGAATGTGTCGATGTCGATGTTTTCTGTGGTTTTTTTTCCAGGATTTGGCGCAGAGTGAAAATCTGTACAATGGTGGATTTGCCAGGTCTGAAGCCGCATTGGTATGGTCCAATAATGTCATTGACCATTGGCTTCAGTCGTTCACACAGTACCCTTGATAGCACTTTATATGCGATGGGAAGGATACTTATTACTCTATCGTTGGCACATATCGTCTTGTCTCCTTTTTTGTGCACGGCACACATGATGCTGAGGTTCCAATCATTGGGCATGCTTTCCTCTAACCAAATTGTACTAATCAGCCGGTGCATGCTCCTTACCAGCATCTGAACACCAGTCTTGAATAGTTCGGCACCTGCTGCTTTATTATTCTTCAGCCGATTGATTGCTATTCTGACCTCATCTTGGCTAAGTGGTATACACTCTATATCGTCATCTATTATTGGTTCTGAGATATCCTCTTCGCCGCTACTATTTGATACCAGAAGTTTTTCAAAATGCTCCTTCCAGATACTCAGCATGCTGTCTATATTTGTCACCAGATTTCCTTCTTTAACTCTACAGGAGGATGTGCCTGCACCAAAGCCTTCGGTTTGGTGTTTTACCTGTTGGTAGAATTGTCGGACTTCATTCTGACTCCTGTCCATCTTGATTTGCTCATGTTCCCGTTTTTCTTGTTCTTTCTTCTTTTTTCTGAAAATACGTTTCTCGTCTCTCCTTTTCTCCCTGCAGGGTTGCCCTATACGCTGCGTTATTCATATCAGCAGCATTTCGACACTTCTGATCGTACCACGGATTTCTTGATGGTGGTCTTTGGTACTCAAGTGTTACTTTTGCTGCAGTTTGTAGGGAGTGGGTAATTCTTTGCCACTGTGCTTCTATACTATTATCGGGACAAGAGGTGTTTTTGTCAAGCAGTTGGGTAAGTTGAGCGGAGTAGGCCTCTGCCACCTGTTGTGCTCGCACCTTTGCTGCTACATTAAGACGGTTGAGTACCTCGGCTGCCACAAGGTAATGGTCCGAATTGATATTTGCTCCTCGGATCGATCGGAATTCTAAAACACTGGATGAATGCCTTCCGTCTATTACAACATGATCGATTTGATTTCTTGTTGCCTGATCAGGAGAAATCCAAGTGGCCTTGTGTATATCGACATGCTTGAATCTGATGCTGCTAACTACCAATATTTTTTGCTGCCGCAAAGTCAATCAACCTCATGCCGTTGTTGGATGTTTCTTCATGAAGGCTGAATTTTCCGACAATGGATCCATAGATATTTCCCCTTCCGATTTTTGCATTAAAATCTCCTAGCAGAATTTTAATGTCATGGCCAGGGCAACCATCATATGCTGTTTCTTTATCTTCGGTCGGAGCATGGGCGCAAATGAGACTGATGTAGAAGAACTTCGCTTTTATACGGATTATAGCAATTTGCTCATCTACTGTTAACCATAAATCCGCAGCCAAATTCATGTCTCGTTTCATGGCAGCTATAGTAATCATCTGATTTACTTTCGTCAGTCCCTTTCCATCGAATTTCCTGTAAGCAATAATATCGGCATTGTACTTCTTGAGTACATCCACTAAAGCGAACACTGCAAATTCGCAGATCGTGGTCCTTTATACGTTTGCGGGGGTCGTCAACATTATGGGGGGGTTTGGTTTTCCTTTTCTTTGCTTTTTCATAGTAGGAGGGGTTTTCCGAGTGTGGGCAACTAACCCGACGCCTTAACCCATTTTTTTATAGTTCTTATGGCTGAACTCGCGACACATATTAGCTCACTATTTCATCGGGTGATGAAAATAACTACCCCAGGTGGCACCACGGGGAGGTCAGTGTCCACAATTGAGATGAAAGAGGGACCAAGATAAGCCTGGACATGTTAAAGCCATCAGAGCCGTTGATTGTTATCCATCATCCCCTACCCACCCACGCCTTTGTCTAGTCATCAAAAATAATTTTTAAAAAATCCCAGCCTTGGTTTTTATCCCAAAAATACTTTGTGAAAAAATCCAATTGTAAATGTTAATAAAAATTTATTGAAAATATTTTTTTAAATCATTAAAACCTTTTGGGAGAAATCTTCAATCTTTCCCAAATTCCATTTACAATCGGCCTTGTTTCCACTACGAACCTGCATAGTTCGGCTATGTATGAGACCATTGATGAGCTTCTCGAACGATTCATTTTTCTTCTTCAGATTTGGAGCAATTAAGAAATCACTACAATATTTTAGAAAATCTCGATATTCTTCCCTTTCAGGTTGATTTAACTCCCGACGAAACCGTTCAATGACCGTGGGCAGTTTCTGATAGATTCCATTTACAAAGAAGGGAAATTCATTCTGAATTTTCGTATTGGCTTCATTGTAGCGCTGTCGAAACACATTAAAAATCCGGGAATTGTTTTCACTTTCACTCAATAGCTGTAAATATTTGGGTAATTCCTCCAATTCCCGATTGGCTTCACCCTTGAGATTACAATTTTCCCGATCACCTTTGAGTTTCTCAGCGGCCTGGATGTAACGTTCAATTTGTTCTTTTATCCTTTGAAGAGATCTTGACGAGGGTGATTTTTCATTGCCATTCTGTAGATCTTCGAATTTCTTTAACAGTTCCGAATATGTCGAAGCTTCGATTAACAATTGTTTGACATTCCATTCATATATTTGTGAGGTAAGGAATTCAAAGAGTTCGAGGCGTTTTTCCGGCCTCGAGGGTGGAACATCCTTTGAGGCCCAGGATTGAGATCCCTGCCAATTTAACTAGGAAGAAGAAATGAGAAATTAAAAATCCATATTCCTAGATAGTTTCGAATGAACTAACTTGCACGAGAATTATAATACTAAATATTATCAGATTCAATCGGTGCATCTCGAAGCGTTGTTCACACACAAATGGTTTTGCTGGAGGTTGTTTTGAAATTGTCAAGGTTTGGGTTTGTGTTTCAATTCAAACTATTTTGTTGATGTTGTTGAAATTTCAAATTCTTATCTCTCGGAATTTGTTGTTATTTTTCAGAGATTTTATTAGGGTGGAATACGTTGTAATAAAAATTATTTTTGGAGGCGTGGATTTTTTTAAATTATTTTTAGGGTAATAACCAAGGCGTTGATTTTTATACCCTCCACCATAGTATGGAGGGTATATTAGTTTTGTTTTTCCGTTTGTAACGCATCGAAATAATTATTTCCGACCCTATAAAGTATATATATTCTTGATCAGGGTAAAATTCTATAACGATATAGCCATGTCCATCTGTCTGTTGTAATCACTCTAGCGTCTAAACGAATTGAGATAGATCG